GTCTAGGTCGTTGAGATTCTCTCGGAATGTCTTCCAGCGTTGAACATACTCATCTGGAAGAGGATCATCCCATTTTAGTTTCAATCTCCAAAGATCTTGTAGGAGAATCTTTCCCTGGACGACGACTGGTGCGATAAATTCCAGTGGATCAAAAATCTGGGCTATTTCTGAAGAGACTACTCTCTTGGTGATTGTCGTCGTATTGAAATCCTTTGATTTGTATCGGAATGTGTCGGTGGATTGATGCCAACACAATCCAAGTACCTTGGTGACTGACTCCTCGAAGTGGATAATTTCTTCTTCAGTTGATAGGCCCAACTTATGCAGAGCCTCTAGACAATTACTGCTCCACTTCTGTAGAGAGAAGCCTCCTGCATGGCAAAGCCCTTGTAGTTGCATTGCGATCTCCTTGAGACCGTCTTCTGTTTCTGCACCGCCGTAAATGTCGTCAACGTAACGACCTCTGGTGAGTGTCTCTACTGCTGCTGGGAAGCGGTGCCCTTCATCTTCTGCCAGTTGTTGAAGAACACGTAACGACAACCATGGAGAACAATTTAGTCCATAGGTGACTGTCGTTAACTGCTAGGTGACTGGTTGTTGATTCTCGTCGATCCACAGGATTCTCTGAAGATCCCAGTCATCTTGGTGAACTCTTATCAAGTCAGGATAACCATTGCATCGTTCTGTAATTTTCCACCAGAATACAGTATATCGTTAATTGACATACCTGATGAACTGGGGCTGGAGCCATTGAATACGACTCTCAGCTTCGTTGTGATGGCCTCCTCTCTCAGTACCCCGTGATGTGGTAGATAGTAAGCTGGCACGGGTTCTGGAGTCTCTGGTGCTATTCTCATGTGTCCCAGTGCTGCGTACTCGTTGATGAACTCTCTGTACAACTGGGAGTATGCTTGATCTGTGTTGAGTCGACTCACGATCGATTTGAGTTGACGTGCTGCTTTGAATTTCGATTCTCCGAGCGCTGCTGCTGAAGTTTTGAGGGGCAGTCTCACGATGTATCGCCCGGTGTTGTCTCTACTATGAGTTGCTCTAAAGTGCATCTCGCACTCGTACTCATCTGGTGAAAGCTCTGATGTTGATGATCTCTCGTTTGGCAGTTCTTCCTGGACCCAAAATTTCTGGAGAAGCTCTAGAAGTTGGTCAATCGAAGATTCTCGTACAGCTGATAGAGATACCTTTATTGAACAATTTGTGCATTCGATTGGTCCGGATAATATCCAACCGAATACTGTGCGTTGGCCAACTACTCTCGATTGCTCTGACTTGACAACATCATCCATGATGATCCGCCCATAGTTGTCAGCCCCTAGTATGATGTCGATTGGTCCAGGCCTTAGATAATGGGGATCGGCTAGCTGAAGATTCTGAAGTGAGCCGATCCTCGCTGATGAGCATGAAAATGACGGAATTATTGCGGTGAGCTTCTTTAGAATGTGGGCGTTGAGTTGCAGTTGATGAGTCCCACTGTTCGATTGTAGAGTGACGGAAACTATTCCTCTGGTGTATCCTGAATTAATTCCACCAATTCCCACTAGCTCCACTGTTGATGCTCTTCTCTGTAAATGCAGTTAATTAACTAATTGTTCGGAGATAAACGATACTTCTGAACCCTGGTCGATGAGTGCTCTGGCTTTTGTCGTGAATCCTCTCGGTGATATTACTTTCACTCGTGCTGTTGCCAACAGCACTGACTGTTGATCTGCTTCTCCTTGGTGA